GGCAAGGAAGCCGCTATTATCAAAGCGAACCCTTCGATCAGCTAGGGCACGAGTCTTACCCTGGACAAAGAAAATGGGGCCATGAGCAGCTCTTGCCTGAGGACTGCCCAGCTGGCGAACATGGAAACCCACAGTACATGCCACATGAGCCAACAGAGCAGCAGGTCTATTTCCATTATCCTACAGACAATCGATCCAACCTTGGCGGAGATTTACCGTATAATGAAATTAACCCCTGGGCTCCTGAAGAGAATTTTCCAGCTGATGACATGTCCCTCCTTCCCAAAGTAAACAGGAAATATGCCATTTCTTTCAAGTGATGTATTTGGAAGGAGAGAGCACATCCCTGGGCAATTCATGGGACTAGGCGTATAATTCCCAGCTACAGAGCCTTCCTTCTCACCAAGGCAGATCGCGATCTTCGGAAAGACATTCCTGGGGTCCTGAAATAGTTTCTCAGCCGTGTTTAGAGAGAACCCAACGCATCTGCCTGGTGTGGCCTCGAAGTAGGGGGGTGTCCAGATGGGAGGGTTTAATTCACTGGAGCAGGGACACCAGCCCATCACCATGTCAGTCCCAGATGGCAACCTAGCAGATCACATAGGGAGTGCAGCGTATCCTTCCTCTGGCCGTTTGTGCTGTACAGGGAATTGTCCAGCACCAAAAGAAAATCCGTTAGCACCGCTAGACTTTCCCCCAATCAGATTCTCTTCTTGGGAATAAAGAGGAAGCGCACAATATCCTGAAGGTAGTCACTCAGAGCATGCCAGGCATGTTTGATACCCAGCTGGTATTCAGATTAGTCACAGGAACAGCTCCCTGCTGCTTGGAAAACCTCCTTCACCCTCCCCCGCCTGCACCTACTCCACAAGAAAATGGAGAGGGAACATCAGATCAGGAAAGGAATATGCTCTACTCTACAATCACATTAGGGCAGCAAGAGGACATGGTCCTACCCTGGAGCAGGTGCAGCGCCAATTAGAAATGCAGTGGCGGGGATGGAGCCAATGTCCTTGCACAACTCTTCGGAGCAAATCAGTTCAGCCGGAGAAGACAATCCTTCTTCCTCCAGTTCTCTAACAGGAAATATGACAAACGATCCAGAAGCGAGGATACCAGACTGTCCACTATTGCAAAACTAACAAGTGCAAATTGGCCTTTAAGATCAGAGAAATAAAACTGGCATATACCTTTGCGCTAATGTTGCAATAAAAGTGATACTGTCTTTAATCTCCTTAAAAATGTACAGGCAGAGTGTGTGTGTGTGTGTGTGTGTGTGTGTAGTTTTCATTCATGCTCTTGTCTGCTAATTTTCAATAAGTGTAAAATTTCATTAGTATAAATCTAATAACGTCCTATCCCTTTAGAACTGATTTGTGCTTCTCACCAATTGCTTTTGGAACAACAGCAATGTCAGCTCTGCATCCAGGGTGCCCCTGGCTTTGAAATGGATGTACTCTTTATCTTTAGAGACCCATCTGACATGAGCATATTCTCCTCTCAGCAAAATGGGGTGAATTCTCAGCTCTGAGACTCGGATCCTCCTGTGCTTGCACCAAATGCCAACGGTGCTGAGGTGAAGTGTGTGGATCTGAAAGGGGAACAATACCCTTAGGAGAGCAGAGAAATAAAATATTGTCAGTCTCCCTGGAAACAAATCTTTAGCATTCATTGTGCTACACAATGGCATCCCCTAATAGAGACCCTGACTCAGCAAAGCACTTACTGCATGTAAATGCACTGCCTTAAAGTCAAGAGAACTGATGCACATGCTTAAAGTTACTCATATGCTTGACTGCTTGGCTGAGAGGGGATGGTTTGCTTAATCAGGGCCACAGAGCAAGGTCAGTGTTGTGCAGAAGGCAGGATAATTGCAGTGGTCCCTTCTGGCCCCTAAAACCTATTGAATAACTTTCACATAGGCCACCCAATAGACATGAGATGCCGATAGCTGCCAGACCCTTGCACCTGAGAATATTGCTTAATACAGCTAGCAGTACTATTGAAACCAGCAGAGGGTCCTGTGGCACTTTTAAGACTAACAGATGTATTGGAGCATGAGCTTTCGTGGGTGAACGCCCACTTCGTCGGATGCATGTAATTCACCCACGAAAGCTTATGCTCCAATACATCTGTTAAGTCTTAAAGGTGCCACAGGACTCTCTGTTGCTTTTTACAGATCCAGACTAACAGGGCTACCCCCCTGATACCATTGAAACCATGGCACTGATCAGGATAGAAATGCTTGGTAAGGATTCATGGGAGCAGACCTCTGGGCTGGCTTGAAACAGGCAGTCTAGGGGGGAAATCTGTATGGCCAACTGACCTCCTTCTAATAATTCTACCTTAGAACAACCCAGACGGTAGGTCAAAAATACTCCAGTAACATCCCCAAACACTGAACCGTCCAATAGTGTTTCTACAGAGTTTGAGGCCAGCACTGTTGAATTTTTTTTAATTAGAAAAGTAACATAGCAGAATTTGGAGTTTGACTAGATATTGCAAGGCGATTTATTTATCTAAACCTACTGCCAGAACTATCTATTCCCAAACAGTAGTTTTTTAGACAAAAACGCTAAGAAGTATGTCTGCGGCTAGGAATCAACATTCCTTTGCAATTCAATGCTTAACCCCGTGTTAAATTTGGCAACTTTGCATATCAGCTACATTTGTTATACTGTGCGTCAGTGCAATCAGTGCTTTCGATAACGAATGGATTTTCTAGCGCCCTGACGGATAGGCACTGTGGCTGCAGAAGCTAACAAATTGGAAATAAAATCAGTTAAAGTTTCATTGGTAGTTTTTCCAATTGATATACAGCACAAAGACTTTCTCTTGAAAGAGAGCAGTCGATGCACTTGTAACAAGTAATCCATAAGAAAGATATATACTAGAATAACGAGTATGGTTTGGAAAGATGGAGATAAAACTCCCTATTTCTGTTTGTAAAAGGCATTTGCTTTACTATGAGTTTACACCACTACTGTTATACATCCGGGGTGAAACTCACTCATATGCAGAGGATCAGAATGGGACTATACCCCCTTTAAGTCCCACTTAAAAGCCCTCAAGCTTATGCACCACTTAAATCCTATGTTAGCTTTGTGCTGGTCCACTGCACAGGGCGAATTTCACCCTCTCTCCTCCAGTGGAGCTAACGTGGAAGGGCAGGAAAAGGATCGATTAGTTAATTAGGAGCAGAGCTGGGCAAATACAACAGAAGTAACAGAAGTTTGTAACAGGAGTGGAAGGTGCCACTTCACCCACTGAGGGGATCTGTAATCTAGTCCTTCGCAGCAGAGGGGTAACAGACGGCGCTCGATTCTTTCTGACACGAATGCCAAAGAAATGCTAACTGCCCAGATACCCACAGCAATGGGCCTTTCACAAAACAAGCCATAAAGATAGCGAAGGATCCAAGATATAAGATCTTTGAGGGAACATGCTTCTTTCCCCCAATCCAACAGGTTGAAAAGTAAAACTACTGCAAAGAAAATCAAAACAATTTAGGATTTCCAGCTACTGATATGACGGACAGATGCTATGACCTGGCTCTCAGTATCTGAATGGGCGAGTATGCCTGGCACTGCCTCGGTCCACTAGATAGCAAAATTACAGCTCAGTTTTCAGAGCTGTTGCTAAGAGATTTAGGGCTGGTCTACACTGGGGCGGGGGATCGATCCAAGATACGCAACTTCAGCTACACGAATAGTATAGCTAAAGTCGAAGTATCTTGGATCGAATTACCTGGGGTCCAGACGGCGCGGGATCAACGGCCGCGGCTCCCCCGTCGACTGCGCTACCGCCGCTCGCTCTGGTGGAGTTCCGGAGTCGACGGTGAGCGCATTCGGGGATCGATATATCGCATCTTAACGAGACGCGATATATCGATCCCGGATAAATCGATTGCTACCCGCCAATACGGCCGGTAGTGAAGACATACCCTTAGATGCACTTTCCCATTACAATTAATGAACACCAATGTTTGCTCTCCCAAGGAGGATGGCTCTTTGAAGTGCAACGTGTGCATTTGTCTCTAATTTGCACGCTGCCCACACGAGAGCCTCAGAAGTTTAAGGAGAACACTTCATTGCAAATGTCTGTGTTGCCGCTGAGTCTCAGCGCAGTTTGCAGGAGAGGAAGGGGGGCTTCCTGACAGGTCCTTAGCCAAATCTGCAACATTGCCAGGATCTGCAGATAATTAAAAGGAGAGGCGAGGGTTATTGTTTGACCCTGTCTAATGGTCACAGCACGGTTATGTTTTTCTCATAGAAGTCCACATACAGTAGCTCCTGAACAGATTGAACACATACATTTCATTACAGCAACCCCCAGGATCCTCTACTAATCAATGCTGATTCTACACACTGGGCAGGCTATTTGAGAAGGTAGTAATCCTAGTATTAATTACAGTAGGAACAATACTCAGTTAGGGTCAGGGCTTCATTATCCTCGTCACTCTACACACACTTTCCAGGAGGACTTTGTCCCTGCCCCAAAGACCTTACAATTCAAAACAGAAATGATCCAAGTTAAGCGCTCGCTTTTTCCACTGGGGTTTGGTTTTTACCTGGGTCTTCACATCCAAACGCTTCCGCTCCAGACAGGAGCAGTCCTTCTCCACAAGGCCCAAGTTGTTTGCTAAGAGCTTCCAGTCTCTGCGTTTAAGGGACATCTCCACTGCAACCCTCAGGAGCTGCTTGTCATCCAACCCTGATTGGTCCTTGAAATCCACAGCTGCCTACAAAAACAGTGGGAAAGAGGTTACAACTTCTCACTAAATGAAAGGGGTTGTCCTAAAGCTAGCAGACGCCTTACAATGCACTTAGGGCCTCATCCAAACTGACTGAGGTCAATGGGATTCTTTCCCGATGCACGTCAATGGACTATGGATCAGATCCCTAGTCTGATGTGTACCATCCCTGCTGGGAGCATGGACAAATGTTCAGCAATGAGGGCTATTATAAGATCGCACGTGTCATTCTTTTGAGACTCTCCTTGGCTTCTCAAGGGGTTCCATAATGTACCCCAGCACTGAGTTCATGATTTGGCTGGAGGTCTAAATAATTTGGAGACCCTGAAATTGGTCTATGGACGAGCAGGAGATGGAAGTGTCCAGAACGAGGAGAGTGGGCATGGAGCACCAAGCAGGATAAGGTGATCTGGTAACAGACCCTCTTTCCAGTCAACTCCCGGCTGCTCCCTGGATAGTTCTACCTAGCGCTTAGCCTGCTTCTGCAGGAGGCAGACGGTTTCCTTATTGCTAATGCCCTTGTAAGCCCTCTGACAGGGCCACGCTCATG